GCGTTCCCGTTGTGCCGGTGATATTTTAGGGCAATCCTGCAGCTGCATCTCCCGGCAGCTCGTACCGACACTCGGCTGTTCCGACGGATGCAGGCGGCACGCGGCGCCGGCACTAGGTTGCCCTTATCCGGAGGGGGTGGCCACCGCTACCGAGTTTGTTTGATCTTCCATGAACCTTTGCTGGTTTTCCAGCCTCGAAATTCCCATTTGGGTTTTAAAACCCCACCTGTGTGTTTTCCAGCCCTCCCCAGCCGGTCTGGGTGAGCTTCCGGCTCTCAATTCCGCCGCGTTGGATTTTCCTGCGGATCTGCTGGAATATTAATTGGGTGAAATATTAATTGGGTGAAATATTAATTGGGTGAAATATTAATTGGGTGAAATATTAATTGGGTGAAATATTAATTGGGTGAAATATTAATTGGGTGAAATATTAATTGGGTGAAATATTAATTGGGTGAAATATTAATTGGGTGAAATATTAATTGGGTGAAATATTAATTGGGTGAAATATTAATTGGGTGAAATCTTCATCCAGGAAGATGAAAATTCAGAATTTCATCTGAAATTTGCCATTTCAGACTCGTCGGATGTGTTTTTTTTTTTTTTCTCCCCAGTCCCTTATTTTATTACTTTAGTAATTACGGAATAATTCAGCACCCGCTGTATGTTGTTTGTTTCCCCCCCGAGACTTAATTACTGTTTATTTTTTTCCCTTGAAGTGGGTAAAACTGTATTTCCCGGGCGATAAGGTGTAGTGGTTTTGAGATCTCCCAATAACGGCTTTACTGGCAGCGCTGGTTTTTCACAGCTCCTTTCCAGACTTTGTCTGGATGTTGTCGCCGTTGTTTGCGTTCCGGGGACACGGAGAGGAGTTTTTAACTGTTCCTTTGTTTCATGGATTAAGTTTGGGATGAGTCCAGGGAGCTCAGGTAAAGCGCTCCCCGACGGGGCGTTCCAGGATGTTGTCGGTACCTGTGTCTTTCCGCGCTCCCTCCGGATTAAAGCTCACCGGTTTCCATTTAAAAAAATGGAATTGTCAAGACGCCCGTAGTGGTGGGTTTGTCCCGTTTGTTTGTTTTCCAGACTGGGAGCGATCCGTGCTGCGGGCGTTCAGCTCCGGTGTCGTAGGTCGGCGCGTGGACGCGGTCCTCCCGGCGTTATCTTAAAATCACGGGAGGCGCCGGCCGTTCCCGGAGCACGTTTCCTGGTCGTGGACACAAAGCAGGCAGCTGGGAAGTGAAACCGGGGTGTAATGGTGCAAACCGGAGCACGGCGGCCGCCTGAATCCCGAAATCCTCCGGTTTCCGTGGTTCTGAGCGCCACAGTTTTTCTGGGGTGGTTTTTAGCACCTCGAGGCACCGGAACGAGGGGAAGTGTTTGATCTGGAGAGCCGAAGGAGCGGGGCAGGAGTGTGAACCACCTCTCGTTTGGGGACTCTTGGCAGGTAAAAAATTCCTCTGCACGGCCCTTTCCGCGCAGGCAGCGAGCGCCGGCTCCGGCTCGGGTTTGGATTGCCGGGAACACGGAGTGGAAATCAGTTTGGAGCTGCTGTGTAGCTTAAAAAATGAAAATCTGGTAGGAAACATCTGATTTTTAAATCAAAACGGGCTCGTTAGCACTTGTCGACGCACCCCGGGGCAGTGCCGCTGCGCGCGTGGTGCCGGAGCGCGGCCGCCTTCCTCGGGCTCCTAAACCCTATCCCGAAAAACCATCCCGCTCGTCGGGGCGGGCGGGAGTTGAACTTCTCATTATTTCCTGAGCAAATTAAATGCTTTTGTTAAAACACACATGGAGCCTCCCGAAAATATTTTGTGCCTTCGGTTACCTGCGTTTTCCGTGTCGAAACGGGAATTTGTGTGTGCGGTTTATCCCCCCGCTCCGTTGGGAACGCGGCTCCGAGGTTTTGTGATGGAGCAGGATCCCAGATCCTGGATCCCTCCTTGGGTCAGCGGGGTTTGCGTGGCACGGCGGTCTCTATTGTTTCCTTACCCTCTGGATCCCGTTGTTCTTTGTTTAACCTGTCGCCGTCCGCGCCGCGGACGTGCCGGCCCCGCTTTCCCCAGCTCGGAAAACCGGGAAAACGCACGCACGGAGCGCCGCGCC